TTGGATTTTTTTTCTTCTTTTTTTGGTTGTTTGAGATAGGGTTTCTTTGTAGCTCCAGGCTGGCCTCAAACTCACAGAGATCTGCCTGCCTCTGCCTCCCAAGTGCTGGTATTAAAGGTGTGCACCACCACTGCTCAGCTTGAAGTGGATTCTTAATTGTGTGGTCTTCAGTGTTTCTGGGAGAGGATGTTTACCTAGGCTTATCTATATCACTGTTTTCATTGATATGTTATGATAAGCAAATCTGAACAATTATTACAACCACATTTGAGATATATGACATTTTATCTCAAATACTTCAGTTAGCAAATAATCAAATTGGTGAATGAAAAAAAACATGATTATTATGGTTTGGGTAGGAAATGTTCCCCCAAACACTCTTGCATTGAAAGGTTGGTCTCTAGTTAGTGATGCTACCTTTGGAGGTTCCAGAAACATTAGAAGGTGGGAACCAGCCGGAGAAAGAACGTCATGGGGGTGGGAGAGATGCTTCCTACATCTCAAGGAATAAAGCAGTCTTCACAACACTCTTCTCGCCTTGATGTTCGACCCAAGGGTGGTAGCCTACTGGACTCTCTGACACTGTGGGCCAGAATATAATCCCTGCTCTTTCAAAGAGATTTTCTTAGGTATTTGGTCATAGTGATGAACATAACTAAAACAATTTTATTTCAACTGATGCAGAAAAAATAGATTTGATGAAATCAAACACCAATTTATGAGAAAGATTCTCAACCATTTGGGAGGAACTTTTCCAACCTGATAAAAAGCAATTACAAATAGCACCAGCAAGAACATACTTAGTTGGTGCATGATTGTCTTCTCTGAGACCTGGAACAGGTAAGAAAACAAATTTTTAACATTTATTTATTGGAATGGAACTCCTAGGTTGTCAACAACAACAACAACAAAAAAAATAAAAGCCATAAATTATAGAAAGAAAGAAGTTGGTTATGGACTAGCTATATTCCAGTCCTAATCCCCAGTACTCTTTAGAACTTATTGTACTTGGAGACAAGGCTTTCAAAGAGGTCATCAAGGGTTAATGGAGTCACATGAGTGTTGGTATCTTTGGAAAGAGGAGAGATGCCTGGGAGGCATATATACAGGAAGGACCATGAGAAGTCACAATGAGAAGAAAGCCTTCATAAGCCCAGGGAAGGGCCTAGGGAGGCAACTGATTAGCAGAGAGTATAGGGTACTTTGGTAATCAGGTAAATGTACCACATATGAACTGGTGATTACATGGGTGTAAAAGAATTGTGAGACTTATCAAGCTACATTTAAGACTTGTGCAACTGTATTATATATACTTAAACCTCAATTAGAATAAAAGGAAATGAAATAATGACCAAGGTTTTCTTGACTTTTCAGGCACTGCTATTTTAAGGCCTCACTATAGTCTTTCTCTTTGACATTAGCAATCAGTCATCATAAGGACTCTGAAGTAGTAAGCATATATTTTGCTTAAATCACTAAATCACTGCAGGTGCTGAGGTCAAAAGGTCTAACTGATTAGGTCCTTATTTTGAGAAAAATGAAACAAGGGAAGAAAAAGAAAAATCAATATTTGATGTTAATTCAGTTGACACATATATAATGAGAACCTATCATATGTTGAGCTATGCTCTAAGATATAGAGGTGTGCATGTTATTGTCTAGTGATAGAAGATCTGAAACATAATAAAGTAGATGATATTTTCAGGAATTCTTTCAATTATAGAGGATAGACAATGTAGATGCTCTGGTTTAAGTGACACTATTCCATATTTACAGCAAGATTAACTCTTAAAGATAGGTTATAAACTTGAATTTCTTTTTTAGGATGATTTACTCTTCTGTCTGGGTTTATTCATAGCACTCTAGTGGGCGTGTCTTCCGTGTGCTGTTGAGAAAGACATCAATGTTTAGCATATCTTTTATTTTACACTTCTAGGAATCAGTTTATTTTCTTAGTATTAAACATAAGATACAGATGGCAGTAATAATAAAGAGAACATAAGTAAATGATTCCTAGAGGCTAGATGGAAACCACTTCTGTACTTTGATTCTTCCAACATACTTATTATTTTGTGTCCTGTGCTTATCCACCATGGGGCATCAAGCATCTTGCATCACTACAAGCACAGGTTCACTTATAGCACTAGAGGTTATTATTAACTTCAGTTAAGTAGAAAATAATCATTTCCCAGAAAAAATGTGTTTGAGACCCTCTCAGAGAATTTAACTAGTGGTGGTTAACCTATGTGAGGTTAGTCTAAAACATCATGAAAGAAAAAAATAACAGTGTGTGTCCAACAGTATCAACTAAGCTGAAATTACTCTGAACTGAAGTTCTGCCACAAATATAAAGGGATTCAGAAATGAGCAAAAGGTATCCCTAAATATGGTAGGGACCTTTGGAGTGATGTTCAGGCAGAGTTAAAAAAGGAGAGTGCAAGCTTCATGGTCTAATTCATTTTAATTCTGAAATTTGTGCTCAGTGGCTTCAGTCTTAGTTAGTTCATCAGTATTGCAGGGAAAATGCCCTGAGTTCCAAGGGCTTTTGTGACAGAGGATCAGTCATTTTTCAGGTAGAAGCAGTTCTAGAATGTTCCCTCATGGGGAGAAGGAAGAGCATGTGTTCCCCCTGAGCATGCCTTCTAAAAGCTCTTTACCCAAGTTTAGATTATCTAAAGTAGCATTTCCTCATTCTAACCAACTAAAATATAACATTCTAAGTGATGATGGAAGAGAAAACTTAAGCTGTAGGCTAATTTGATAATAATGTAACCATTTTTGTTATTATAAGGTTGCTCTTTGAGTCGACTCTGTTTCTTTTATATGTTTAGCATCCATAAAGTTGGCCAAATGTTGAGGAGAACAGGAGAGGTGAAGGAGTGAGAGACTGGCAATAAAGATTAATGGTCCTGCAGTAAATATCCTGTATAACACTTCTGTATTAAATGATAGCAACAAAAGAAACCACAGATATAAAGAAGAAATGTATACCAAAAGACTCTGTCATGCTAATGAGAGGAAAGCAATTAAAGAGGTGCAACCAAGCAGTGTAACTTGGGCAGTTAGTGTTGGGTCACTGGCACCATAATATTCAGGGCATTCAGACCCATGGTGCACACCTAGGGAAGTTAATTCTCCCATTAGGCTGGATGCTGCAGCAAAGGCCAAGGCAATAACCCTGCCCTGTCTCTAGTCTGCATGCACCAGCTCTACAGTGGCAGAGTGGCTCAAGGGGCAACTTCATGTCTTTAGTGATCAGGAAGACCATAAAAGAAAAGAAGAATACAAGACAATCTTTTCCATGAGTAGAAAAACTTAATGGTTCTTATATTTTAAAATGTTAAAACATTTCAAACTTTTAAACAGATGAGATTTTTGATATTATTTTCACTATCACACTACGTCCTCCTGCCCTTTAAAGAAAAAGGGAAAAGAGTGATGAGGGGAGCTGCTGGAAAATAAAAGGGTGAATGACAGCGCCCCTGAAATCTCTGCAGATGTGTAACAGCTGCCTTTGAGTTAGCTCGATTGTCTAGCAGCACTACTGGGACTCACTGTGCACAACACAAAGTGATGCAAGGTCAGCACACAATACAGCACAAGTAATGGGTTCTGAAGTCCTGGTAGTCAAAAATGGTTTTGTTTCAAATTAGAAATTGATTTCTTTGGTATAGCAGCCTTTTCCAGGCTTCTGGCTTCTGTAGCTGGGAATAGGAGAGGTTTGTTCCAGCACAGCTAGGCTGTCCCAGTCTTCAAGAGCTGCTAACATTGCAGCAGTCTCACCCAACCTCACATGCTGTTATTCCTCTGCTGTTCTGCTATACAGTTTTTCATTTTGCCATTTTAGCATTGGCACACGACATACATGCGTTGACATGTCAAGAGAAGATTACGTTAAGCCTTGCAGAGTAACCACTAGACCAGTTCTGCCCAGAACCTCTCTCTGCAGTGCAATGGCAAGAATAAGGGGAACTAAAGTAAAGGTTTTCATTGCTGAAAGACGACTGCCAGAGAAAGTAAGAGGCTAGCTCGGATAGTAAGTCTTCTCAGTTTCATCTTTGTCTTGTGAGCAGCACCTAAAAGGAAGCTTCAATGTTGTCTGTCTTCAGTGGCACCCTGTAGAATATTTATTTGCCTTATGCTAAAGAGAAATTGTGGTGTTTCCCTTTTGAAGTTTGGAAAAATTGTCATCTCTCAGTTGCCTGGAAGAGGATAAAGGGGATATTTTAGATTACTGGAAGTTAACCCCCCAAAACAGCAAAGCTGGCAGCACGTGGGGAAAGCAGAGAAGGGTGTGTTGATGCAGAGATTATGAACAGTTGGCTGCTTAATATCACAGGAGAGGAGGATGAAAAAAATCATGAGTAGGGTGTGAGCAGAGGAGGCTGTTTCCCACACATCTCTCCACAAGGAGGGTCATTCCCTTTCAAGTTTGTCCTTAAGGCTGTTGGCATAGACTGCACCAGAAGTCACACCAGAGCGGCTGGGAAGCAAATACCTCTTTCATTCATCATTTCAGAGTTCCTTGTAGTATTATTAGCACTTCAAAGAAGGCAAGGCAATATTTTCTCAGACGTGGGTGATCATGTTTAGTTCCAATGTAAAGTTGCTCATGACCTCCCCACATTACCAGTCAATTGAAGACTAACCATTATTATGAGACCTTACTTTTCCAGGAGAGATTTAGGTTCAACTCTTCATTCTGTTACTCATTTTGAGAACATCATTTAGAATTTATAACCTTACTTACTGTCCAATTCAGAATTTAAAAAAGGGGCCAAACTGAACAGAGTGTCTCCCATCAATACTCTAAGAGAAATAAACGCAGATGTGACTTGAACATCTAGTACCTGTGCCACCCACAGTTTTGCAGGCATATGTTTATCTGAAATGCTACCTCCAGCTCAGCACAGTGGAAACAACCTGCTGCCCACTGGCTTGCAGGCACCAACCACCTTCCACCATCCTTCTCTTTCTGCTACTGCAGACACTACACTCACCTCTCTGGGGGCTGCAAGTGTCTTTCTGTTGGCATATCCACTGGACGTCATCCTCCACATGTGACTGAAACTCCACTGTCTTCTTCTCCCTCCGGTTTTGTCCACTGTTTGGAGAGTCTGAGCACACTTTAAAGGATGATGAGGTTCCAGGCAGCCATCCATCACATTTCGACTTTAACAAACTGAAAGAGGAAACATGAATGGACTGTAGCGGGCACAGGGGAAGACACAGATCACACGGACATATCTGAAATGGACAAGAGTTTCAATACAGTTCACGGCAGTGAGAATCTTTTTCTTATTTTAATTGATAGATAATTTAATATTTTTCTAGATGTATATTTTGTGTATTGCTACAACTATTTTGGAGAACAGTTTAAGGATGTTAATCCTCAAAGTTTACAGTCAGAGTTACAGAAAAAAGACAAGTCCATTAAACTGCAAATAAAACCAAAGACTATGAGTAAGAATCAGAATGTCTACAGAATGAAAAAAAGCAGGTTAAAGTGAGACTGCATATCTAACATGTTTTGTAAGTACTAAAGATGAACTTAAAATTAAATTAAAATGTCAGCATTTGTTATCCAGGGATAGTGCAACAACTGGAGGCCAAAGGAGGTTAGGTAAGTCGGCAAGGAGGCACATACATTACCTTTATGGTCTGGGATAGACAACAACAAGAGAGTGAAGCAATGAGGAATCAAAGACTGGCAGAAAATAAAAAAGAAATGAAGTATTATTTATGTAAGATCAATCAAAAACAAAAGAAGATTAATGTGAAGATCTCTGGTGTGGTGAGGAATGTGAGGCAGAAGGCTGAAGAAAGAAAAGCAGGAACACAAAGGCAGAGCACTAAGGCACTAAGCACTATGAAACTACAATAGGTGACAAGCTTGCTATATGGTCACACGCCAGTCACTTTAGAAAAGTGGAGAAATGAAGAATAAAATCTCCTTGGCTATACCAGGGATAGACCAACCACGTGGCTATGAGAGGTTCACCAAAGGACCGAAGGGAGTGGAAACACAGTGATTTTAATTGGCATGTCATGTCAATGTTCTACTGAGATAATGACAGAAAACAATTTAAGGATGGAACATAGTGGGACACACTGAGATTCACATAAGGAGGCAGGTTTGTCAGAAAAATGCTGGCATGCTTGTCACTATTCTTATCAAATGTTACAGGAAAAAAAGGCCTCTATCACAAGTAGTGTTCTCAGATAAGATGCTGATCTTAGGCACTGGTTCATAGCCTGGTGGTGAATTTAAATTATCTGGAAAGGTTTTAGTGATAGGATGTCTGGAGTCTCACCCATTTAACTGAATGGACTGCCTGTGACCAGCCCCGCCCCCTCCATGCCTGTTTCCCTCTTGCTTGCTCTTCTTTTCAAAGACTGCCAAGGGACTTCTACAATCATGGCTGTTCCTTGGGAAGATGACATCTCCTTTTGCCCAGTATTCTGAACTCTAAAGAAAAGCCACGCCTACTTGATTAAGATGTTAACTACTATCCATCTAGTTTCATGTTGGCTGTTGGCTTGCTGTATCAGATTCAATGCAATCCCCATCAAAATCCCAGTACAATTCTTCACAGACCTTCAAATGCTGTGGAACAATGGTCTTGTACCCTGTAAAGATTTGTCACTTATGGGTTAATGTAAGATAAAAGAATTAATTAATAAGAAGCCTGAGCTAATAGGCCAACCAGTTTATAATTAATGTAGGCCTTTGTGTGTTTCTTTGGGACTGAACAGCTGTGGAATTGGGCAGGACAGAAACCTCTGTCAACATAGAAAAAACAATACTCAATTTCATATGGAAAAACAAAAAACCCAGGATAGCCAAAACAATCCTGTACAATAAAGGGAGTTCCAGAGAGATCACAATCCCTGACTTCAAATTCTACTACAGAGTTATAGTAATGAAAACAGCTTGGTACTGGCACAAAAACAGACAGGTGGACCAATGGAATCGAATCAAAGACCCTTATATAAAGCCACATACCTACAAACACCTGATTTTTGACAAAGAAGCTAAAATTATACAATGCGAAAAAAAAGCCTTTTTTAGCAAATGGTGCTGGCATAACTGGATGTCAACATGAAGAAAAGCATCCAGGCAAGAACAGTTCTTTCCTTTTCCAGAATTCTCCTATTCTGGTCATCCCACCTATACTTCCTGCCTGGCTACTGGCCAATCAGCGTTTTATTAAACCAATACAAGTGACAAATCTTTACAGGGTACAAGACCATTGTCCCACAGTACTGTGGGGGAGTGGGGAGAGGAGAAGGGGAGCAGGGAATCAGGGAGAAGAACATGAGGGATTGGGAAGTTTGAGTTGGTTGAAGGACAGAGAGGGAAAGCAAGGAAAGAGATACCTTGAAAGAGGGAGCCATGATGGGGTTAGGGAGAAACCAGGCACTAGGGAAATTTCCAGGAATCTACAAGGATGAACCAAGCTAAGAATTAAGCAATAGTGGAGAGGGTACCTAAAATGCCCATCCCCTGTAATCAGATTGATGACTACCTTAATTGTCATCATAAAACCTTCAACCACTAACTGATGGAAGCAGATGCTGAGATACACAGCTAAGCACTGGACCAAACTCCTGGAGTCCAGTCATAGAGAGGAAAGAGTGGTATTACAAGCAAAGGTGACAGACCATGAATGGAATACCCATAGAAACAGCTGACCTGAGGTAGTGAAAGCTCAGGAAGTCCTGACTGATGGCTAGGGAACCTGCATAAGACCAAACTAGGCACTCTGAATGTGGGTGACAGCGGTGCTGTTTGGGAAGTTTGTGAGGCCTAGCAGTGGAACCAGTATTAATCCCTAGTGCATGAACTCGTTTTTTGTAGCCCGTTCCATATGGAGGGATACCTTGTTCAGCCTAGATACAGGGGAAAAGGGTCTTGGCCTTGCCTCAAGTGATGGGACAGACTTTGCTGACTGCCCATGGAGGTCTCACCTTCTCTGAGGAGTTGATGGGGGTGGGGTGAGAATATGGGGGAGCGGGAGGATGGGAGGGAGAGGGAACTGGGATTGGTATGTAAAATGAGATTGTTTAAAGAATAAAAATAAAATATTTAAATAAAAAGGATGCAAACTGCTAAATAATCTTTTCTTCTATATTCTCTTCTTCTCTCCCTGTCCCTCCCTTTGTCTCCTGTCCCCTCCTCTTATTGTTTTTCCCTTTAGACTAACAAACCCATGTCTATTGAGTTCCAAATTTCATCAGATTATATGATAGTCTTTCTTATGTTCTATGTATCAAATAATACAAAGCATGTAAATTGCTATGTGGCTTAACTTCCAGAGATAGCTGCTGAAAGAACCACAGGAAGCCCAGATCCACTCTAGTGTGCATCACAGAAACATAAGACATACACTCTGGATGAGTCTTCCTGTCCACTGCATTCTTATATACACATGAATCCCCTTTTATATAGTTGAGTTTTCTAAGATAATTTTTATGGGGAAATGAGAGCTTCACTTTTTTCTTTTAAAACAAAGGTTTAGTTATTGATGTGATTTCCTTTTCATTAACTCTCTTTAAATAATTTTTTAAAATGTCCATGATTGAAAGATCACAAGTCAAGGCAGAGATTGGGGACAAAATTCTTGTGAAAAGTTTTTATTTTTCAAGGGGGAAAACTTTTAAAGCCCTGAAGGAAGAGATGGGCTATAGAGAGGAAACCCTCTCTATATGATGAAGTTCTATGATGAACTTCTGAGCGGAGGAGGATGAAAAGGAAAGAAAAGCAGGAAGTGTTCTCATGTCCCTCGCTGTTCTACAAAGAAAAGGGGATTTGTCCCTATCCTCTCTACTGTGCAGAGTGAAAACTGACTACAGAAGATAACTTCAGACCTACAGAGGAGCCCATTATATTTACACACACACATATTTACTTAGGCAATATTATATCCATCTATGACCTTTGATGGAGTTGAAGAACAGATAGTTATTGTTATAGTTTTCCTTAGTTATGACAAAAAGTAGATATAAAAGCTGTAACTCTAATTCTTGCTTGATACCTGTCTTGTTATATGTAATTTTACTATGTTAAAGTAAAACCTTCCTTTTTTATTTAAACAGAAAAGGAGAAATGGTGTGGGAGGTCCTTCTGTATATGTGTTGCTTTTATTGGTTAATGAATAAAGAAACCGTTTTGGCCTGTGATAGGGCAGAATAGAGCTAGGTGGGGAAAACTAAACTGTTACTGGGAGAAAGAAGGAGGAGTTGCAAGAAGTCATGGAGCTGCCAGAGGGGAAAAATGCGAGCTGCTAGCTGGAACCTTGACAATAGGCTAAGAGCCTCGTGGTAAAATATAAAATAACAGAAATGGGTTGATACTAGATGTAAGAGAGCTAGCAATATGCTTAAGTGATTGACCAAACAGTGATTTAAATAATATAATTTTTGTGTGATTATTTTGGGAGTCTGGGCATCTTGGAAATAAACAAGCAGCTTCCAACAACAATATACGTATATCCTCATGTCACTTCCAGTTTGCTTTCTCTGCTGCTTGCTTGTGGTTGAATATTTCATTTCTTGGCTTCCTGATCTGGTTGCCTGCTGCCATGCCTCCCCAGTCACTATGGGCTCTCCCTAGGAACATTAAGCCAAAATAAACTAATCCATTTATAAAAAAATTATTTTTTAAAGTGTTATATATATATAATAAAATAGGATCATATTTACTTTCTATTCCTTTCCCCTTCCTCCAACTCCCTTCATATTCTTCCAATAAGCCTTCCCCAAATTTATGTCATTTTTTGATATTTACTAAGTCCAGTTAGTGCCACACAAATGTATATGGTTATGTAGCCATCCATTGGAGCATAGGAAACCTACCAATGTCTCTGTCTTCAACAAAGGATGGTTCTCTTTCTCCCAGGAACTATTCACTGCCAATAGATCCTCAGTTTGGAATGACATCTGGGGATCATCTTCTCATCTGTGCTGGGATTCTGGCTAGCTTGATCTGGAGTATATCTTGAACAGGTGACCAGGGATGCTTTGAGTTCATTATTGTGATTGTCATGTCATCTCCAGAAGACACTATTTTTTTTAACAGCACTCATCCCCATCTTCCAGCTCTTACATTATTTCTTGCCTCTTATTTCAGAATATTCCCTGAGTTTTGTTGATTATTTATCCCATTTATGGCTTAGCACT